GTTTCCTCTCTTCTTGGTAATGACTTGGTGGAAGTACTTCTAAATGTTCACACACTCCTTTCCAAAAAAGACCAAGTATGGAACACAATCTACTGAAGAAAGCCAGATCAATCCCTTGCTTTATATGTTAGCAGGCTGCTTTTACCCAAATCAATGCTGTTATGCTTCAAGAGAAGATGAAAAGAACACAAACGACATCCCAAACTCCACAGTGAACGCAGCAAAGCTTACGCAAGCTCCGTATTTCTATCTTGTGTGCCCAGCATCTCTGCTTTGGAAAGCCTTTTCAACAAGTACACCACATACGGTAACTCCTCTTGGAAATCTCAAACTCTCACAGTATTTTGGGCCTTTCAAGGACATTTTCCTGACAGGACTTTTAGTTCCATGGTCTGCAAATGACAAAACCAGAATTTACTTTGGGTGCCGGAAGTGGATTGCAAGTTGCTTAATGTGTGTAGCTGCATTACTGGTTTAAACCACTAGGTCTATGCTATAGCAATCTAACAGCTATACTTGGCTTTCCAGCAATGATGGCCTTGTTTCCCACAACTTCAGAATTCCAACAGCAATACCTGCATTTTTACTATTAAAATGAGCAAAGATTACTGCTTAAACATTTCCTTATTCAGGGGAAACAAACAAACAACACTCCCACATAACATCAACAAAATCATCACAGAAAACCATTTGTCAGTAAATGAGGCTGGGATCTGGACCTTTCAACTGAAGCTCGCAACAGCAGTCTGCATCTTTTGCATACTTGTTCAAAAAGGGATTATTATAGCCCATCTTTACTATCACCCAAGATTAATCCCTGTCCCTGGGTAGTTTTCACACTTTTTTGACTACTGTACCTACTGATCAGATAAGAGAATTCATGCAAACATTCGGATATTCGGTGATGAGAGCAATAAGAACAGAAGGCAATTCCAAAGACGGTAACAGCAGTACACTCTGCTGGTGAAAAGAACTTTCCTGTATTTTCAGTGTCATTGGAATTACTTTTCCATTGTACTATAGTAAAGATGATGATCAGCAGCATTTACAAGAAGCATCCCCTGCTGTGAATCCAGTAAGTTTCAATTTGAAGGCGAGGGAAATCAAGTTATAATGGCATTTCCTATCTCAACCCTTATTTGCCTGGATCTAAAAGTAAATATTTAGTGGAGCTTTTTATCTTTGAAGATACACTCAAAGATGAGACTACAAAGTTTTACATAGCAGAACAAGCTTTGCATATTGTTCATAATGAAATCGAGCAAGAAAAAAATTTTGCCAAAAATAGAAAAGACACTCAAATGTGTCTTTGAAATGCCATGAGATTAAGGCAACTATATTTCATCCTAACCAAAATGAATTCAATGAGGGCTTTTTTGGTTTAAAAATTGAAGATGGATGCTGAACTGCTAAATATAAAAAGAAAAAAAAAAAGATAAATGAACTGATAAACAACACATGGATAGAGTGGCATCTTTTTACAGAGTTACAAAGCAGCAGGGTGTTTTTAGCTTGCAAAACTGTTGTATTTACTTTCATATGGTCAGCGCCTGCATTCTGCTTGGTTAGTCAAGTACAGCAACAAGACTTACGACTTCCATATGCAATCTTAAAAAAAAAAATTGAAGTATAGTGCACAAATAATAAACAGATGTTTTAAGCGTTCAAAGCTGTAAGGGATACATATTTCAGAATAAAATGAAAAAGCCACTTGAGGAAAGTGATTATTTAGGTGGGAAAAAGCAGTTACTTCTACTAAAAAATGTTAAAGCAATAAACCCTTTGTAACTGTTCAGAGTGAAAAAAATGAAGAGTTTAGTCTCCCTTATCTCCCTTACAACTGAACCTTCGTAGCCATTTACATGGCTACCATAGTTATCACTGACAAATTAACTAATCTGCCAATGAAAAATAGAAAGTAATCAGTAACTTGGTTATTATTTAACATATTACGAACCCAACTCTTGGGAAAAATAATGTAGAGAGCTCAAATTTTAAATCAGATGGGAAAGTTAGAACACTTCATCAGGCACAACAGGCAGGATTTTGGTCGTGGGGTGCTGCAGGCATGACCTGTGTGGCAGGAGGTCACAAGCAGCCTTGTGCTGCTCATAGCCAGTTCTGGAGCTGGTGTAAGCAACTCACTGCGTACCAGAACATCACCCAGCCAGGGGAGCCACGGCACCTTTGCCCAAGCGTATTTAAGAAGGAGCAGCAGTCACCGGTGGAAGGGTTGTAGCCCAGGGAGTGGATCCATCCCTGAAGGGCTGCAGAGGAGTCACGCTGCAGCAAAGGAAAACAAGAAAGAAGCAAGGAGCAGCAGAAGGAACATCGAACCCTCTTGTGCCACCCATTACCTCACCAAAGCAGTAGGGTCACAGTGTTAACATGCAGTGACAACAGGGTACCTGAGACTGGGAAAGGGGAGAGGAGAAGTGTTTGGTTGAAGCTGAGCCTGGAGGAGGCAGGGAAAAAGGCTTTTTCTTAATTGTTAGAGGTCTTGCTATGTTTTGCTTTCATTTTCTCAGTACCTGAAACAGGAATCTGAAGTTTTATGTTAATTGGCAAAAAATTAAGTTCGGTAACAACTCTCTGAGTCAAGATTGCTTGCCTGCACCACATGTTGCTAACTGGTCACCAGAAAGACCACAGTATGTCATTTTAAAGCATGTGTTATAAAAGGAAAATGTACTTAGTATTTGCTTCACAAAAGACTACTAAAACAAATGGTCTGCACTATGGAAGGCTATTAAAATATTAAAAAGCAAAACAAAACCAGGTTAAAATCTCTGCATATGCAGGTCAATGAAGATGAACAAAGTTATAATCAAACCAGCCAGCAGGCATCACGCTGTACTGATCAGCTAGTCCTCATTTGTGACAGCTCAAGAAGCTGCTAACTTTTGTGCAAATACTGCAATTTTAGACTGATCACAGAACTATTCTTTACTGACTGTTTTCACAACTCACAACAGGATTCCTAAAGCTTACTTTTAACAACAACAATGGAAAAAAAAAAAAAAACAAACAAAGTTCTACTGTATTTTTCCTGAACCTTCTGTCCAACTTCAGATCCTGTGAGGATCTGAGGAGGCTATCTATTGAACTACAGTTGCTTCTAAATCAGGCTTTGGGTGTATACCATAGCTATCCCAGCCTCTGATGTGCAATGCAGAAGCAGTAAACCAGAGGTTTTTGGCTGGAACAAACATTTTTTTACTGTATATTCTTTATGCAGACAGCACTGAAACCTGAGCATCTAATTTATGCAAAGCATCCCTATTTCTAGACACCACATAAAAATTCCAAAGTACTCAGTGTTCACTATAGATACATAATTTGAAAGTATTTTTATATGAAAATTATACATTTTATACTGTTGGCACAGAATACGGCTCATTTTCTCAGTTAAGAGCTGAACAACTACAGTATACTTAAAAGTATTTGCTTCCAATGTGCAAAAACAAGGCACTATTGGTTGATGATAGCCTAGGACATATTCAACTGCTAGACTCTTTAGATTAAATTAATTTAAACGTTCTTCTATTTAAAACAAAACAAAAAATGCAGAGTTTTTGGCCGCTTTAGCTCCTGGAAGCACTAAGTGCTGCAGATGAAGTACCATCTCCATTTAGCTCTCTTTGTATCCCAAAATTAACTTACAGGTTATAAATACCCATTCTTACACTAATTAGATTAAATACCATTAAGCAGATCAAGTTGAAATGCACTCACTCCTCCCCCTCAGTCTGCATTCCCCACTTCTTGTAATCAGTTCGTTCTGGTGAAATTTGAAAGTTATCCAATTTTCCCTCTGGAGTATTCTTTAGCATCCCTACCAAACACATGTGCTAGAAGAATCAGCTAGTCAAAGCACGATTTGCCTTTTTTACACACACAACACTGGAATTCCAAAAGCACTCATGCTGACTTTGTGGGATTTGTGCTACTATAGTATTAAGATGTTCATGATCTCTAACCAACGTCACATCTTTGCTCTCTTTACAAGGGACCAACTTCGAGGGCAATTAAACAACCTTCCACCCTTTACAGATGTAGGCTAGCTGTCTCGCACCGAGGTCTGGTGAGTGCCAAGGCCTTTTAATGGCCTCTTGATGCTGGGAGTATTTCTGCTCCTTCACTACCAGCCACAGAAGTTCACTCCCCTCCATTATTCACGCTCCGGTGCTTGTCAGACCTTCTGTGACCCAAGTTTAACTTACTACGCCAGTTCAAAGCAGACAGGCAATTTTTCTTCTGGGTTAGTTTTCTGCCAGGTTTTTTGGTTGCATCAGCTCATGGGAAGTGCCTGAGCAGAGCCAAACCAACACAAAGGAGAGCTGCTATATGAGCTCACTGCCTCCTCAGACTGCAGCCCCACTATGGATTTGGAGGTCGCCTGATCACAACTGCTTAAGAAGCAGCTGTTAGACTTGCTTAACAGAGGAATATCCAAATGAGGCTGGGCAGAAAGATTTTAACACATATCTTAGTCAGTACTTTTTCCTCAATTTTATGGTACAAAATCCATTTAAAGCATAGACAGTAAAGCCTTTTATCCAAGGAGGATGGTGTGGAAAAGAATGAAAACAAAATACAATATTCGGCAGACTACAGCTTTTCCCCAGTCCTACTTATCTACTGACCAAATCCCGCATTAAATTAAAGGTGGTGGTGGTGGTGGGATATTTGTTGCTCCAAGCTCAAGCTGCTCACTGTCTGTCTGCTTAACGGGTAGTAATCTCCTTTCTATATTAACACCTTCTAGTTTATGTCACATGTTGTTAAAACCTCTAATATAGTTAAATTGAATAGGTAACAAGACATCAGATGTAATGACATTTATTTAAAATAACCTCTCAAGAACTGACAGAATAGTAGTTGTATGTAATTGCTTATGTCTCAGGAATAGTCAAGTCAGCTGCCTCAAAAGAAAAGTTTTTTAAAATCTTCATTTTAAAGGAGGAACGCAGAAATTAACTATTCATTCGATTACTTACCGATCAAGATTTGACCCGTTTTCATTGCTGAGCTACCTGGCACCAAGCCATGTACTACAAGCTTCTCTTCACCAGCTCCTCTGATGACTTTATCCTTCCTGCCTTGCTTTTCTGCTCTTCTGCTGCTCCATGAAGACTGATGGACAATCCCCACTAAGGCCTCCAGCAGCCTGTGCTGCTCGTCTTCTCCAGCACTGCACAGTTTTCTGGGATTTACATACACATATACATCTTTGTACTTTAACTGAACAGTGACACCCATTTTCTGAGCAGACTGGTGTTTCAATATGGAAGTAGGACCAGTGGAATGCACATTACAGCTTCCACTGCCTTTCTTACCAGAATGCTTTGGTAAAAGGTTCTTCTTTTTTAAGATTTTGGTCAATTTCTTGAGTTCATACTTTCTTTCTTTTCGTGATCCCTCTTGAATAACTTCAGCTTCATTTTCACGAAACCTGACATGATTCACTGATGGCATTTCTGGACAGCTGTTCTGAAGCAGAGCTTCTTCTTCACTTTCACTCAATTCTAAATAAAATAATTCCCCATTTTTCTGCACACCATCCAGCCATTCAGGCTCAAGGTCACTGGGAAAGAAAGAAGAATGATCAGTGATAGCTCTGATAAGGAAGACTGCTATGCAAGTAACATTGGCTATTTCAAGTAGGGAAGGGATAGGGATAGTGCAAGGAAAAAGGAGGGGGGGGGAAAGTTGCCTCCTGAATATTGAAATCTCAACTGCTTTAAGTTTGCCATGAGGGTAAGAGCTCTTCTCAGACAAATGATGGATATGGCAAGGGAAAACATCCCTTCCAGATGTTAAAATAGTTTCTTCAAATGCCTTACAGGAAAACAGCCGTTGCAAAAAGTAATATTCCCTTTTCTGAAAGCAAACAAAAAACCCAATCTCAAACCATTTCTTTCACAAACAATTTTTAATTAGCAACTACATTTATGGGCATGATGGGGCTTTCCCTTAGAGAAAAAACGCCATCCTGTTTGTTTTCTCCCATTATTTTTTCCCTTATGCATTTATAAGACAGATTGTACTTCGAGCTCTTTGGAAAGACAAGATGAGCATTTTAAAATCACCTCTATATAGCAAAAAAAACCACCACAACAAGATGAAATCTAGGTAATACTTTTTAAAAGACAAGTTCAAAATAGTGTACTGAAGCTCACATGCAAAAATACACAATAAAAAACCAAAGAGGCAGCATTGCTGTAGAAAAAAATCTGGCAGCTGGAGTGGATCACTTTAAATCACTAGAAACAAGCTGCTGCAAAGAAAAGGCCAGGCAACTCCAGGACGTATTAACAGGAGTACCATCTGCACAGCACAAAAAATTTTTTGTCCTAATTTGGCGGTGGCGATGTGTCAACCATGTCCAGTTTTGGATAGTGCATTTTAAGGAAGATGTAGTAACTGGAACAAACCCAGAGCACAGAGACAAATAGTAAGTAGTTTATAAACACATTTTAAAGGAATAAATCATTCGCTTTTGGTTGAAAAAAAACCAAACCAAAACAAAACCAAAAAATGATAGCTGAGAGGCAACGGGCCAAACAGTTCACTCCCCCACCCCAAGATGAACCACAGAGTATTACTACAGAAGGATAAGGATCGATAATGGTCCAAGTAGAAGTAGTTAGTGGCTTAATTTACCAAAGTATTTAAGCTAAATATTAAAAGAGCTTTTTGATCACACATGAAAATAAGTCAGCATTAGTAGACGATGTCAGGAAGATCGGGATGTTCTGTATGGAGGATTTTCAGTGCATTTTTCCTGACTAGATGACAAACAGGTCTCCCCTTCTATGAACTTGCAACCGCAGTGATAAAAATAAAATAAGGCAAAAACCTAGAATGGAGACTAACATCATAATTAATACCATTGATTGTTTAAAATTAACATACATACACACATTTTATACTAGAACTAGCTAACTGTACTGAATAAAGGATGCAAACTTTGTTTAAAACTACTGTAGAATTCAAATAGAGCATTAATTTGAATACACAGATAAGTGACACAGCTTCAAAGTTTAGCAGAGCAGAGAACATTATACAAAGACACTGCACCACAGCACCTTTAAGGGCTCAAAGAGAGGACCTGGCTGGACTAAGGATATAGAAAACATTGACATTACTCTCTTCCTGGAACCCCAGTGACTTAGAGAAGTCTATGGATGTTGCAGACAGGAAGAAACATCATAGAATTCCTCCACATTTATTAATTAATTGGCCCGAGTTGACAGTTTTGAAAGAAGAGCCACTACTTGTGATAATCTGATAGTGATGGGTAAGTCAGAGTTTGCATCTTCTACAAAGCCAAGATCTTGAGTACCTTACTCAAGAAAGTATCAGAATGATAACAACACCTAAAGGCTTTTAGGGCCAGACAATTATCATTTCTAACGTCTCTAAAAAGGTGGTAGGTAAGAAATAACATGACAGAGTTTTTCCTTGGTTTGTTTTTTTAAGAAGTACTCCTGCACTCTGGTATATGTAAGCAAAATTGGGAAAAAAACCAAAACTGATAAAGGAAACATCAGAAATTTACAAAGAAATAACATTTGGGTCAGCAGAAGCTCCTGTGATGTAGGATAGCCTTTCTATTCCCTCTTTAAAAGAAATCGTGCTCTTTGGAAAAGCTCTTTCTTAATTAGGGTAGATGTCGAAATACTTGGATGTCAGTTCATACACTCACGTTCTCCAGCTTTGCTGACTCTTTTTATTAGAGTCTACTATATGGACCAAGGGAATTAAAAAAAAAAAAAAAAGAGGTGTGTGGTGTTTACATTGGGTCCACTCTCCACTCAAACAGAAGCCAGAGAGAAGGCTCGTCAAGGAGGAGCACATATGGCAAAGTCACTCTATGCGCATCACCTGATGAAGACAGAAGACTAAAAAAGCGTCACAATGGCATGAACTGCTCTCCTTGAAGGCGTTTTCATGAGTGTACTTTAAAGGAACTATCACTTTCTGAATACAGATCTGTACAAACATCTAAAAAAAGCAAAGTCTGAGACAAGAAATCTGCACCTAGGATGACAGGTTTTTTACCTAATGCTGTAGTTTCACAATTGATTTAAAGCAAGCTAAAAAAAAAAATAAAAAAAATCCCATTACCATCTATCTTTCTTTGTGCCAAAACAAGCACTTATATAATAACCTGAGCTTCTGTATAGGTCTGGAAGCTTCAGTCATGGGATCTAAATATCTGGAAGACTTGCATTCCTCTAAGAGCAGATTCACTGATCCCATACAAATATTTCTTCTTTTGGATAAATGTCTGAAAAACTGAAATTGAAAAACAATTGAAATTGTCCATATATGGAAGAAACATATACTAGAAATGAGGGATCCAAGTTCTGATTCTGAAGCAAGAGAAGACTCTTCTCACCAAGGAAACTCAGAAACAATAAACAGTTAACATCTACGAGTCTTGTTTTAAAGCAATTGAACAACAAAGCAAGGGTTAACTATTTTACTGCTCTGTATGATTAAATTCCACCCATATGATACTTTGCAGAAGTTAAGATCATCATCTTGAGTCTTCCCAACCTTTGCCTACGCAACAACAAAGCACAGCTTCAAACCAAGGCACCAGTTTGGTAGAGGCAAAGCTGCCGTCCTCTTCATAGCTGTGGCACCTGGAGGGGTTCTGATGCATCACAACTAGTGAAAGTGACAGCAAATTTACACTCTGAGAAAAAACCCAACACGCCACACTACTTCCAGCACGGCACATGTCAGCATTCACTTCACAGCTCTGTCTGAAAACAGGCCTTGCACAAAATCCCAGGCCCTGACAACGCCGCGCTCACATGGCCCGTTTCTGCCCTCGCATGAACGCTCCCTGGTGCATCTCGGCGCGTCCACGTTAGCTGCGGCATCAAGCGGCACAGCTTGAGCTGTCAGAAGTTCACTCTGCAAGTCAGTAAGTTTTAATTCAGAAAACTACTCCCAAAGTTTTTCTTTCTTTCTTTCTTGAATTTAATAAGGTATGGCTGATTATAAAAACCACGTACAGATCATCTATAAAGGAAGAACAGCCATTATCTTAACACAGCGAACAGACCTATCTTTGCACCTGTTCCTTTGCAAAACTGAACTGTTTCGCCCTCCCTTTTCACTCCAAGACAAATCATAACCTCTTTTTTCCATACTCAGAAGGCTGGAGTGTTATAGGTCCAACAGAAGAAACTATTTGGACCTAAAATTAAAGCTTCACAGTTCTGTTGATGCAGCGATAGAAAAGATGTATTTCAATTTATCCAGCAGCATTACACATTGTGTTCCGTGTTGAAAACTGTGGAACACAGCTTTATCCCCTGAATGGCAGTAAACAGGCATTTTAGAGGAAAGAACTGGAAAAGAAAAAACCTAAACACACAAAGAGTAAGGTATGGCTTCAGGCAGAAATGTGTTACAGCTGAGTTCTGGTTTATAAACACAGGAACAAAATAAGGCAGGTGTCCATCCAACAACATGTTGTTACAGGCATGGGACAGCTACAAAACACAGTTCCCTTAAACACACCTCAAACCTCTCTCACTTAAATCTTCCTTTTCTTCTTCACTGCGCCACGTAAGGAAAGTCACATTCCCAATAAAATGCCATTGCTTGGACCTTGAAATACACATTTGAACCGTCAAGCAGAGTTGCTTTAACGCAGGGAAGAGGCAGAGAGTAAATTTTTATGTGAATTAAAAAAAAAAAAAAAAAGA